ACCGGGTCAACCCGGAACAAACCGGGTACTGACCCGGTGTTGGTGGGTGAAGATGGGTTTGCCACGGTCAAGTGTGTTCTTGGTGTGGCCGTGGCAACCTGACCGTGTCAAAGCTTTCTCGCGTGTTCTTGGCTGCATTTTGATGGCACGGTCTAACAAGCCTCGTCCAAAACCCGTGGCAAGTCATCGTGTCAAACGCCGAAGATGTGTAAAAGTTGCCACGGTCAAGCCCGAGACCGTGGCATTCAGACCGTGTCAAAACCCGCATGCTTGTAAAGTCCTTCCCAGCCAAGTATTTGTTTGCCACGGTCAAGTCCCAGACCGTGGCATTCAAATCGTGTCAAAACCCGAATGTTTGTAAAGTCCTTCCCAGCCAATTGTCTGCTTGCCACGGTTAAGTGTAGACCGTGGCATGAAGATCGTGCCAATCGCCGAAGATTTGCAAAAGTTGCCACGGTCAAGTCCTAGACCGTGGCATTCAGACCGTGTCAATCGCCGAATGCTTGCAAAATTCCTCCCAGCCAAGTGTTTGTTTGCCACGGTCAAGTGTAGACCGTGGCATGAAGATCGTGTCATTCGCCAAAGGTGTGCAAAAGTTGCTGATATATCATGGTTTTTATGGTTTTTAACCATGGTATATGTCTTATTTATAGAGTCTTTTTAGTGTCTTTCAAGTCTTTTGGAGTCTTTTCAGGTCATAGGTACGTTTGGAGCTTAACTGGAGACTTTGGAGCACTTTGGAGCTTAATCAGGATCAAATTCGTCAAGTATGGATTTTGTGCTTTAGTGACGCTCGACACCATGGAGAGTGACGCGCTACACTTGTTAGAGAAATAAGGAAAAGGCGATTTTGTTTCCTATTTGAAGAAGGAGTTGGGCCCAAACGTTTTCAAGGAAGCCCAAAACGTGTCTTAGAGATATATATAGGATTTTTTTTCCCTTTTTACGTTAACCTTAGATTTTCTTAGAGAGAGTTTTTTGTTTTTGAGAGTTTTTCGAGAGACAAGTCTGAAACTTTGTTCCGGAGAGAGAAGATTTCGAACCCCTGTTTATTAATCTATTTACTGCTTACTGCAAGTTATTCAATCATGCTTATTGCTTCAATCTCCATGTCTGAGTAGTTTGCTTGTTAGGTTTAGGGTTCTCATAAAGGATTTCATTGGATGTTAGATTGATTGGTTAGTTAGGGTTCATAATCTATTTAGTTCTTCACCATAGGTTGTTCTTAAAGCTAATTCTGGATTGGCCACCTAGAACTTAGATCTTAGGTTGCTTAATTGACACGGAAGTGTAATTGAATAACTGGAAAGAACCTAGGGTGAGCAAAGTAGCTATTCGCAAAGGAATTTGGTTTAGATACTTTGTGAACATATCGAACTTGAGCATTAAAGCTGGTTTAAATCTTTAGGGTTTGCAAAGGAATTTGGAATTCTAGGATTTTGACTTAGATAATTCTCACAACGGAAGTTGGTTAATTATAATTCTGTGATTCGAGTTCAAGAACTGTGCTTAAACCTGAACCCTGACTAATCGATTGATCTGCATGCATTGATTTCCTGAGAAACTCCCTAAGCCTAATCTCCATCCATCTGAATCTTACAAACCGTTTTTATTGCTGCTTAGTCTAATTCTGTTGCATTGCTATTTATTTACAATATTTCTGCTTAGCGTAATTCAATCTCTATAAGGTTTATTGAGTGATATCTTGTCTCTGTGGTTCGACCCCTACATACTACAACTGCACATCTGTGCTCTTGCAGAGTAGCTTAGGGATTAAACTTTGAGCATATCAAGTTTTGGCGCCGTTGCCGGGGACTTGATTTCGCCATTAAACCTAGTTTTTGAGTTTTGACTAAGTTTTTCGACTTAGTGTCGAGCGATACCACTTGTGGTGTCGCGCGACACCTTCTTTTCTTTAACCTAGTTTACTTATTTTCGTTTTCTCTCTTTGTTTTTGGTGTTTCAGGTTTATGCATACTCGTGGAACTAGGAGCAACAAGGACATCCCGCTAGTGAATTTGAGCAACGAACAGCTAGCTGAGTTAGAGCGAACGAGGCGGAAAGCAAGAGATCCGACAATGATGGAAAACGCCAATGGACTTGTTCGTGATGATGATGGAACCTGGAGAGACCGAGAGGGTCATCTGTGCAATGCGAGAGGCCAAAGGATTGATGGAGATGGTAACATCATTCCACCAGCTCCTTTACCAGTGGATGTTGTTGACCAGAATCCACCATCTGCACCGCGTGGTAATGCTGTGATCGTTCCACATCAGAGGAACGCTCCAGAAGATCGGAATGTAAGGGAACCTGCACCTGCAGCTGGACGTGGACGAACACTTGGAGACTACAACAGGCCTGAGCAGTTCTATGCAAATCGTTCTGCGATTCGCGCTCCTGCGTTTCAAAGGAACGATTTTTAGCTGAAGCCTGTGTACTACACTCTTGTGGGTCAGCATTCTTTCCATGGCCACTCTCATGAGCACCCTATGGATCACATCGAGAGGTTTGAGGACTTGTTCACCAGCATCAAATACAATGGAGTGTCCAATGATTTCCTCCTCTGCAAGCTGTTTCCTTACTCTCTTGCTGGAGAAGCAGCTAACTGGTTGAAGCAGTTGGAGCCAGGATCACTCACCACTTGGGAGGAGACCAGGAACGCCTTCCTGCACAACTTCTTCGACGATGCTAGGTCTGAGGAGTTGAGGACTAAGATCTCGACTTTCTCTCAGGACCCTACTGAAGCGTTCAAGGCTTCTTGGGTGCGATTCAAATCGTACCAGCGAGACTGCCCTCACCATGGCTTCAGCGATGTGCAGTTGCTGGGTATCTTTTTCAGAGGTATCGACTGGAGGTATCAGATGGCGCTTGATGCAGCAAGCAATGGGAACTTCAACACCAGATACCCAGACGAAGCTGTTGAGCTCATCGAAAACTTGGCATCCAGCAATAGCACCAAGAATGCAGATCTAGAGCGAAAGAAGCAAGCTGGGAACATGGATAGATCGCAGATCGCTGAGGTGAAAGCTAAACTTGATTCTGTGCACAGCCTTTTAGTGGGTAAGAAATCTGTCAGATTCGCACAGGAGGTGGAGAGTTTCGAACCTGAGGATGCAGCTGAGGAAGAGGATGTCAACTTTGTCAGTGGATCAGGATTTCAGGGTCAGAGGTTTGGTAATCAGCAAGGTAACAGAAGCTACAGTGGAAATTACAGTGGAAACAATCAGAGGAATACCTTCAACAGTAATCAGAACTTCTCTGGTTACACGCCTAAGCCTCAGTACCAGAAACCTTTTTCAAGCAACAGTTTTTCCAGAAACTACAACACTCCTTCATCTCAACCTCAAAATCCTGACAATGAGATGAAGTCTATGCTGGAACAGATTCTGGAAGGTCAGCAGAAGCTCACCGTGGACTTTAATGGGAAGATGGATGCTCTCTACCTCGATCTGAATGGAAAAATCAAAGTTCTGAACACCCATGTCAAGCAGCTCGATACACAGGTAGCCCAAACTGCAGGTTCTGTTAAAAGGCAAGAGGGTTTTCTTCCTGGGAAGACTGACACCAATCCAAGGCATCACTGCAGTGCTATCACGTTGAGGAGTGGTAAAAATCTGAGTTCTGAGCCCACGAAGACGCCTCCTGCACCTGAAGTCGTGGACTTAGAAGATTCTGAAGAAATTCCTGAGATTGCAGAGCCGGTGACGAGCGACACCATCACTAGTGTCGCGCGTCACCAATTGCAGAGCGAAGCTGTTGATATTCCGAATCCGAAATCTGCAGAAGAGAAAGTCTACAAACCTAAAGTTCCTTACCCAAGGAGCCCTAGGAAGTCCAAGCAAGAGCTTGATGATGCACGATGCAAAGCTCTGATGGAAAAGCTTGTGATTGAGATACCTTTGGTTGATGCTGTAAAAATCACTCCTGTCATCAGACGTTATGTGAAGCGAATGGTAACCAATAATCTCAGCCATGAACAGGGAGTGATGATGATATCTGAGCAAGTCAGTGCAGTGATTCAGAACCGAATTCCAGAGAAGCTGTCTGATCCAGGAAGCTTTGTCTTGGATTGCTCTATCTTCACAGAGAGATTCAAGAGATCGCTGTGTGATCTGGGTTCAAGTGTTAATCTCATGCCCTATTCGGTAGCTGTCAATCTCGGCATGACTGATTTCAAGCCAACAAGGATCTCCCTCATCCTAGCTGATCGTTCGACAAGGATACCTGAAGGGGTGCTAGAAGATGTTCCAATCAAGGTTGGAGACTGCATGATACCGACTGACTTTGTGGTTTTGGAGTATGGAGAGGAGCCTAAAGATCCTCTTATCCTTGGGAGACCTTATCTAGCTACAGCAGGTGCTATTATCGATGTCAGGAAAGGCAGGATTGCTCTGAATGTTGGAGATCTGGTGATGAACTTTGACATGGACAAGCTGATGAAGAAGCCCACCATCGATGGTCAGACCTTCTATGTCGATACTCTCACAGAGTTTGCTGAGGAGTTTCTCCATGAGATGCTGCCTACAGACCCACTTGAGAGAGCTCTGACCACGTTTGCCTCTGAGGCCGAACACTTGGGCGAAATTTCAGTATCTTACTCAAAGATGTTGGACTCCAGCGAGCATGCGATGCAGCTGGCATCGCAGGTTGAACAGCTTGAGACTCCTGCGAAGGTGAAGCAGTTATCCGACTGGAGTGAGGAGAAAGCCCCTAAGATTGAGTTCAAACAACTCCCTGCAGGACTAAGGTACGCATTCCTGGGCTCTAATTCTACTTATCCAGTCATTATCGATTCTTCTTTGAACAATGCTGAGGTTACCTTACTACTGAGCAAGCTGCGCAAGCATCGCAAAGCTTTTGGCTATTCTCTTGATGATATTTCAGGTATCTCACCAGAATTGTGCATGCACCGAATCCACCTGGAGGATGAGTCGAAGTCGTCGATTAAGCACCAGCGCAGGTTGAACCCTAACCTGAAAGACGTCGTCAAAAAGGAGATCATGAAGCTGCTGGAAGCTGGAATCATCTATCCAATTTCAGATAGTGCCTGGGTGAGTCCTGTGCACGTGGTTCCTAAGAAAGGAGGGGTTACTGTTGTGAAGAATGACAAGGATGAGTTGATTCCGACGCGCACAGTGACTGGACACAGGATGTGCATCGATTACAGGAAGCTGAATGCAGCGACCAGGAAAGATCACTTTCCATTGCCCTTTATTGATCAGATGCTGGAGAGACTTGCAAGCCATCCCTACTACTGCTTCCTCGATGGGTACTCAGGATTTTTCCAGATCCCTATCCACCCAGACGATCAGGAGAAGACCACCTTTACATGTCCATACGGCACTTTCGCATATCGCAGGATGCCCTTTGGACTCTGTAATGCTCCTGCGACGTTTCAGAGATGTATGATGTCCATCTTCACTGACATGATTGAGGATTTCATAGAGGTCTTTATGGATGATTTCTCAGTCTACGGATCATCTTTTAAGGACTGTCTGGATAATCTCTGCAAGGTTCTGGCTCGCTGTGAAGAGAAACACTTGGTCCTTAACTGGGAAAAGTGTCACTTTATGGTCAGAGATGGGATTGTGCTTGGACACAAGGTTTCTGCAGCTGGTATCGAAGTGGACCGTGCGAAGATCGACGTCATGACGAGCTTGCAACCACCCGATTCTGCGAAATCGGTTAGAAGTTTTCTGGGTCATGCAGGCTTCTATCGTCGCTTCATCAAAGATTTCAGCAAGATTGCACGCCCTCTTACTGCTCTGCTCTGCAAAGATGCTAAGTTTGAGTTTACAGATGAGTGCCTTGCTGCGTTCGAACAGATCAAGCATGCCCTGATAAGCGCCCCCATTGTGCAGCCTCCTGACTGGAATTTGCCTTTTGAGGTGATGTGTGATGCTAGTGATTTTGCTGTTGGTGCTGTTCTAGGACAGAAGAAGGATAAAAAGCTTCATGCCATCTACTATGCCAGTCGAACTCTGGATGATGCTCAAAGGAATTATGCTACTACTGAGAAAGAGCTGTTGGCTGTGGTCTTTGCTTTTGAGAAATTTCGGCCATACCTTGTGGGATCGAAAGTGATTGTGCACACAGACCATTCTTCCCTCAAATACTTTATGCAGAAGAAGGATGCGAAGCCAAGGTTGCTGCGATGGGTGCTACTCCTTCAGGAATTCGATATTGAGGTCAAGGACAAGAAGGGTGTTGAGAATGGTGTGGCAGATCATCTCTCACGCATCAGGGTTGAAGACGACGTACCCATAGACGATTTCCTGCCAGAAGAGAATGTGTATTATGTGGAAACCAAGTCCCAGAGCAGTTTTGACGAAGAATTGCAGGTTTTTCGAGTTGGAGGAACGTTAGTGACGAGCGACACCACCACTAGTGTCGCGCGTCACCTTTCTCAGGCGAACACAGAGACCTCCCAAATTCGAAACAGACTTCCTGAGACCAGTTCAGCTGCTGTATCCGCTACCCAACGCCCTTGGTATGCCGATATTGCCAATTATCTCGCTGCAGAGGCTGAGCCTGAGAACTTTAAGGGCTATGCAAAGAAGAAGTTCCTGAGAGAGCTGCGAAGATACCACTTGGATGAGCCATATCTGTACAAGCACTGTTCTGATGGGATTTACAGAAGATGCATTGCAGAGTCAGAAGTTCCAGAAGTGCTGTTTCATTGTCATGGATCCGAATATGCTGGACACTTTGCAACATTCAAAACAGTGTCTAAGGTTCTTCAAGCAGGCTTCTGGTGGCCCACCATGTTTCGCGACGCACATGCATTCATCTCGCAGTGCGATGCTTGTCAGAGGAGAGGAAAGATCAGCAAAAGACATGAGATGCCACAGAATTTCATCCTTGAGGTTGAGGTATTCGACTGCTGGGGTATCGATTTCATGGGTCCTTTTCCCTCTTCTTATGGGAACAAGTACATCCTGGTTGCTGTTGATTATGTCTCAAAGTGGGTCGAAGCCATTGCCAGTCCCACCAACGACTCTTCAGTGGTCCTTAAGATGTTCAAGACCATCATCTTTCCTCGATTTGGAGTGCCTCGAATTGTTATAAGTGATGGTGGTACTCACTTTATTAACAAGATTTTCGAAAAACTCCTAAGGAAGCATGGAGTTCATCATCGAGTTGCCACTCCGTATCACCCTCAGACGAGTGGACAGGTCGAAGTCTCGAATCGACAGATCAAAGAGATTCTGGAGAAGACAGTGGGAAAAACTCGAAAGGATTGGGCTGCGAAGTTGGACGATGCACTCTGGGCGTACAGGACAGCGTTCAAAACACCTCTAGGCACCACACCTTTCCACCTGCTCTATGGAAAGCCCTGTCACCTTCCAGTGGAGATCGAACACAAAGCAGCCTGGGCGATAAAGCTGATGAATTTCGACATCAAGTCTGCTGCAGAGAGGAGACTGATACAACTGAATGAGTTGGACGAAATCAGGTGCCATGCCTATGAGAATTCGAAGTTGTACAAAGAGAGGACCAAGGCGTATCACGATTCCAAAATCGTCTCCAGGCAATTCGAACCGAATGATCAGGTACTTCTGTATAATTCTCGTTTGCAATTGTTCCTGGTAAACTTCGTTCTCGATGGTCATGTCCTTTCATAGTCAAAGAGGTTCGCCCCTATGGTGCTATCGTCCTCCTCACACCAGATGGTAGCAGGGAGTTCACAGTCAATGGACAAAGGGTGAAGCACTACTGGGCCAAAGCTGAGATTCCGGATGGACATATCGTGCCTCTGGATGGTGCACCTCCTGCTTGAATCGCCATCAAGTCAAGCTAATGACTTAAAACAAGCGCTTGGTGGAAGGCAATCCACTGGTGAGTCTGTAAATAAGTCTTTTGTTTCAGTGATTTTCGTTTTTCTTTTCGTGTTTTAGGTGAAGCAGAGGCTGGTGTCGAGCGACACTACCTTCGGTATCGCTTGTCACTTGTTTTCTCTATATATAAAAACAAAAAAAAAAAACAAAAAAAAAAAATAGGAAATCAGGAAACCGGAGTCAAACCAGAAATTCGGATTGGTCTGCTGCAATTCGGTACGAGGAAAACAAGTGTCGCACGATACCATCATCAGTGTCGCGCGTCACCATCATTGCAGCCAGGTAAGTTATCTGTTTTTCCTGTGTTTCTCTGTTTCTTTTCTTTCTGTGTTTCTCTGTTATTCAAGTCTGGGGGAGGTAGTTGCTGACATTGTGTTTGTTTTTCTTAAGAGTCAGTTGTGTCAAAACGTTTTTGAGTCAAAACCTGTTGGAGATCATGATGCTTTTCCTGGAATTATTGTGCTGACTTTTCACCTAAGTGACCACTGCTGCAAATTCAGACTAGATCCGACTAATGAAAAATCCAAAGGCTGACCAGTTGACTAGAGGCGTCCATGTTTCCAACAGAATCCACTAACCTGATGCAGTATACCGGGT